GCAAATTTTGATAGAGATGTGCTGCGTGGTGGCAGTGCTGTGCTGGAGTGGGCCGTTTCGTTCCAGACCCCGTTCCATACCGTTCCATACCCGGTCCAGACCTGGACCACCCATGTACCACCCCTGACCCACTGTTGAACACATGGCAGGTTCTCACATAGACTGCTCGTAAGCCATCCTTTGCGCGTGGGTTATGGGAGGGTAGAGTCTTGCTATGCAGGGACACAATCTACCCCATAGGGACCTCTGAGTTTTAAGAGTAGGAGGTGGGGCCTGCGTGACAGGTCTGAAGCTGAGTCGACAGCTTCACATGGTTGCCAGTGGGTGACACTGGCTACCAGTCGTGTCGTATCTAGTGCACGAGCACTAGCCATGCAAGCCAAACCTGCGTTGAACAGGTGTACAACAAGGATGTCGTGCAGATGAGGAGTAGCTTCAACGTGCATATCCTTGAGAAGTATATATTATATATATATATATATTACATATAATGTATATATATATATATATTTATTTATGTATGGCCTATATTTCATCACACTCCAAAGGTCCGGAACAAGACCAGTTACGAAGCCCCTTCGTTCCATACGTCCGGAACACCGCGGAACGTTCCATACACAATTTTGACTCGGGACCATTTGTCCATCCACTCACCCATCCATCTGTCCATCCATGTATATACTTGTCTCTTTCTGCGGCAGGCTTCAGCTGCTGCGTGGACATCTTCGTGGAAGAGGAAATGGGATCGCGATTGGCATCAGCCACATTCCTATGGTCAGCGCAAGACTCTTTCCACGCAGTGATAACCGGGTTCGTGCTGGCAGGATTGTTTTCCTGACCCTGTGCCCGAAACAAATTCTCCGTCTAGGATTCTTATTCAGACCCAACTTTGGTATTTTCAAAGGCGGGGGGGTGCAACCAAAGAAAAGCGTGGAGTTTCTCGGAGCAAATGGATGAACAGGACCTTGGCCACTGGAACTTTATCCAGAGATGTTTGCCCCCACGGTCCCAAAATTGATTCTCGATATTTTTTGTGTACCATATACGCCTGGGGGTTGTGCCCTTCTTTGGGACTGGCAATTTGTTCCGAAAAACGTTTGGCCCCAAGAAATTTCTCCGGGATAAATTTGGGTACAACCCCCCGTAGGCACCACACACGGGGATAGTGATCGATCTATCTATCTATCTGTCTATCTGTCTATCTGTCTATCTGTCTATCTGTCTATCTGTCTATCTGTCTATCTGTCTATCTATCTGTCTACCTGTCTACCTGTCTACCTGTCTATCTGTTGTGCAGTGTCATTCAGTGTAGTGTCGTGTAGTGTAATGTAGTGTAGTGTAGTGGAGTGTAGTGGAATGTAGTGTAGTGTAATGTAGTGTAGTGTAGTGTCGTGTACTTTAGTGTAGTGGAGTGTAGTTGCGTAGTTGTAGTTGTAGTTGTAGTTGTAGTGTAGTGGAGTATAGTGTAGTGTAATGCAGTGAAGTGTAGTGGAAGGTTGTGTAGTGTGATGTAGTGTAGTGTAGTGTCATGTAGTGTAGTGTAATTTAGTGTAGTGTAATTTAGTGTAGTGGAGTGTAGTTGTGTAGTTGTGGCTGTAGTGTAGTGGAGTGTAGTGTAGTGTAATGTGATGTAGTGAAGTGTACTGGAAGGTAGTGTAGTGTAGTGTAATGTACTGTAGTGGGGTGTAGTGTAGTGTAATGTAGTGTAGTGTAGTGCAATTTAGTGTAGTGTAGTGTCGTGTAGTGTAGTGTAATTTAGTTTAGTGGAGTGTAGTGGAGTGTAGTGGAGTGTAGTGGAGTGTAGTGGAGTGTAGTGGAGTGTAGTTGTGTAGTTGTAGTTGTACTTTTGTGGAGTGTAGTGTAGTGTAGTGTAGTTTAGTGAAGCGACATCTGAAGCTCCAAAAGTGGTCCGAACCCCTAGTGTTTTGTACATTTTGACTTCGAAATGTGCTTCGCGCCACAACGGCGTGCACTTTTTCGACATCTTAACTTCCAAAAGTGGTCCGAGAATGGTGTGTTTTGTACATTTTGACTTCGAAATGTGCTTCGCGCCACAACGGCGTGCACTTTTTCGACATCTCAACTTCCAAAAGTGGTCCGAAGCTGAGGTGTTTTGTACATTTTGACTTGGAAATGTGCTTCGCGCCACAACGGCGTGCACTTTTTCGACATCGCACCCTCCAAAAGTCGTCCGACGCTGAGGTGCTTTGTACATTTTGACTTGCAAATGTGCTTCGCGCCACAACGGCGTGCAATTTTTCATCTCTCATCTGGCCAGCTGGCTCCGCACCCGCCGCTTTAGCGAGCCTACTTTTCGACCCTCCGGAGCCACAAATCATTGGAAAAACAGTGTTTCGCGACGTTCCTACCTTTTCGCGCACCTGCATCTTCTTTCTTCTGATCTTTTCTCTTCTGACTCTTCTCACCTCTGCTTTTCAACTGTCCATATTGTCGGACGTTTCACTTCTAAACTTCCTTCGACTATTCCGTTCAAATGTGAACACCTAAAAGCCACATACTACAATTGCTGTTTTTGCAGCTGTAAACCCTGTCGGCTTGGCCACACGAGGCGACAGCGGTCCGAGAAACTTCGGGTCGTTGTGCGTGGCGGTGCTGTGCCATTGGAACGGTTGAAGTATTTCGGCGCCTTGGTGGATGTGAGACGGGTATATGCTATATACGCATGTTGTTGCTATATTAACATCGTCGCTCATTATCTTGTTGTATTGGTTTGAAAGATACAGTGTAAACTCACCACCAGCATTGTTAGTGATCGGACGAGGGTAAGGCTCCAACTTGAATGATCGTCTGTTCACTGTGATTTGTTGCAGACCCATGCCTATACCGAGCTTATCAACTTGGGGGGTTTGACATAGTGATAGGTCGTTTTATACACGGACCACCTCTTCTTAGCCAACTAGGGGGCTTTGCATCCAGGGCCAACATCAGTTCTCAAGGGTTTATCTTGAACAATGACTTCTTCTATTGGGTTTCACCATCGTTGAAGAGATCAAGTGCAGAAACCATTCCAGTATTGGTCACGCTTAAGTTGTATGCTTGTATCGGATTTCTTGGCCTCCAGCATGATGTGAGGATCAATTGCTGCCAGCTGGCAAAACGACGACACGAAGGATTTGTATGCTCGCTTTGAAAGCCCGGGCAGCGCTGCTGCCGCTGTCAAGGCTTTGGACCCGGTCGAATGGGACGAATAAATGATTTCGACCACCTGTGATGTGCCCTGAGTCTCGAAAAAGAGTAATTTTACACACCATTCATTTTACGTAAATTTTGGTGATTTAGAGTATATATTTACGTACATATTTAGGTGCAATGTAAATTTAGGTTGCATGTAAATTTATTCAGGTGTTTTCTAAAATGATGTAGGTGTTTTTTTTAGTCTTTTGGTCTATGTTTAAAAAAGTACATTTTTTGTAAAACGGCTAAAAATTATGTATGTCATGAAAGTGTTTTTTCCTTTTTTTTAATTGTCTTTTATAAATAGGAAACTGAAAATGTGAACAAAAAAGTCGATTTTTTTTCCTTGTGTGAACAGCAGTGCCTTTACTTGAGTCATCGTCATTGCTTACTTGCGTCATGTGGAGAGGTTTTTTTCTGTCAGATTTTGGCAGAAGCTGAAACGGGACAAAATTAGGAAGCTTGAATATAAGCTGGAGGAGAGCAAGAAGAAACTCAGACTCCGATGACTCCTGCATTTGATTTTGACTGCACTGACAGAGGAGAAAATAAGGGAATACTTTCCTTGTGGCATCTAGGTTTACTTGTGTCCAAGTTGTTTACTTGAGATGAGGTGATATAAACTGATATGAAATTGACAGATTCAAATATTTCATATTCAATTAGATCTTACCAATTACCTTACAATGCCATAGCAAAGTGGAAATAAGTATCTTGTTGTGAACATAGGTTCCATACAGATGAGATTAAAATTGAACAGATGCAAGATTATTTTTTCTGAACGAAAGAAAAGTTTATATGAATTTTATGTTTAGTTCGTATGTAATTTTGAAAATTTCTCATGAAAATTGTCTTGATGTTCATGAGATATTCAGAAACATGTATGAACTTTATATGAAGTTTCTATCTAGTTTCTAGGTAGTTTCTATGTAGTTTCTATGTAGTTTATATGCACTTTTCAAAACTACACAAGAGCTACATGTAGTTTGATTGAAAGTACATGTACTTTTTATGTCGTTTTCAAAACTTCATATAAACTACATAAAAACTACATAAAAACTACATAGAAACTACATATAAACTACATAGAAACTACATATAAACTACATAGAAACTTTATATAAAATTCATACAACTACATTAACAAAATACCTGGGAATTTCTTGCAGTCTGGATTGAAATCTATGAAAACTTGTTGAAATTTTTACCAACACTTAATGTGGAACATAGAGAATTTCCACAAGGTTCCTCAAATACATATCTCATCTCGCGTGTAGATTGTTAGATTTGAGTCATAAGAAAAACATAAAAAACAAAGTAAGAAATACACATATATATTTGTGGATAGATATGTCATTCTGTTTTTCCTTTGTCTATCTACTCCATTATTTTCTCTTGAGGCATTTCTTTTCTTTCAGATTCAGATTATATACCTTTTTTCTTTCTTTCTAGATATGCAGCCGTGTAGGAAGCAGTTGCCATCAAATTATCTAAAACAGTTTTCAAAAGGGAAAAAAAGGTATCTACTCGTCTGCAAGTCCAAGATGTTGCTGCTAAGTAAATTTAAGTTCCTTTTCATGTCCTTAGTAGCGTAGTTGAGACACAGATGCCAGAAGATTTCTGGTACTCCTGTGGTTTGTTTTATTCTTTCCTTCTTTCTTGCTACATTTGCAGTCTCATCTTGAGATGCACCTGTCCCAAGAATAAGAACATTTAAACTCTAAACAGTCACCATGAGTTCCATCAATTTTCGCACAAATCTCTGCAGCTTTTTGCTTCAGCTGTCACCCCCGTCTGTACCTGCCATGCTTCGCTTGGGAGCACGCGTTGAGCAGACCTGTGGTGCCACAGGGCAGGTAAGCGTCAGCTACGTGTGCGCAGTCAAGAACAATGGCTTCATTTGTCTGGGTCGAAGTGACCCACCCTGCATTCATGTATTGGCGCTTGTGGAGGGGTGCCGGATTTTTGATCCCTTTTGCAGATAAGTTTCTGTAAACATCCCATTCAACATATTTGTCAGGTGGGGTGCCGGATTTTACTCCCTTATGACGATAAGTTCCTGTCAGCACCCCATTCAAGATTCCCCCAGTCGTCACTAACGTCCAATCTCGGAAGACATTTTTCTCGCGTCTCCGATGTTTGTTTTGCAAGATTGTCGTCGTTTTTGGATCCCTGTATCGACATCACTTAGAGAGAATCTCCGATGTTTGTTTTGCAAGATCGTCGTTGTTTTTGGATCCCTGTATCGACATCACTTAGAGAGACACTATTTATATTTGCTTGGATATACGCCTCTTCAAACATGACATGTAAAGGAAGAGATTCATGCATCTTAGCAATGCATTGCAAATGCTAGATATGCAATCACTTGTAGGATCCCCTGCTTCCTATCGTTGCTTGGTTGGCAGTAAGGCCCTACTGCTGAACAAATGACTGACTGGGTGCATCCTAGCAAAGTGACCCCTGCTGCTCGGCTTGTAAGGGCTTGCCAAAGATGATTTGCTAAGACATCCTTGTGGAGCTTGCCTTCAACACATGGTGCTTCTCCATTCTCCAATTGGGCTGTGAACTCTGACGCAATCTGATAGCTGCTACCTTTTACAAATGCCGCTGCCAGTTGCGGACGCCCACTGCTGCACTCAAAAGGGTTGAATTTTCGTCAGGTCTCCGAGCCGGCCTCGCTGGACCTAGCGTCTCTCCGTGGCTGCGGGAAAGAGCCTCAGGACAGTGGTGTATGGGACCACATGGTGACGGCTACCAACAATCACAATTTGTAACCAGCTGCATGTACTGCAGAAATTCAACATCCCGATTCAGCGCCAGTTTGCATCCTTTCTTGGGTGGTTGAGGCTCACCAAATTTATCCGGGTGCTGTCAGGATCGTGACAATATGACCGTGTTACCTGATGACAGCGTCAGCGCTTGCCAGGAGGTGCTCCCTGCACAGGAATCGGGACTTGGTTATGATTCGCTTCTAATCCATCCATCTATTTGGGGGCAAGTCAAAATAGGAGGTCCGGAACAAGCTCCGGGACCACACCCGTTCCATACCCCCGTTCCACACCCCCGTTCCATACCTCTTTGAAGGATCCGTTCCATACCTCTGTTCCATACCTCTGATCCATACGTTATTTTATATATATATATATATATATATTTATTATTTATATATACGTATATACAATTATATATATATATATGTATATATTTGATTATGTGCAATCTGATTTTACATTTGTACGCACACATATGAGCGCACGTACAGACATGAGTGCATACATGCCAGAATACGCTTACTATGCCCAAGCCCTGTGATTGTGTTGGCAAGTCTGTGCCCGCAGCACTTACAGCTGCTACCTACTTTGTTGTGTGATGGTAGGGATGTGCTTGGCTGCGGCCCGCTGGCAGTCTAAGAATGGATTGCTTGTAACCCTCCCTCCCTCTCAGCCTGTGGCAGGTTTGTGCCTGCACCACTTAAAGTTGCTGCAGGCTGTGGCACAGCTGTGGTGTTTGATTGTAGAGATGCGCTTGGCTGCTGCCGGCTGGCAGTCTAAGAATTGCATGCTGCGCTATTCTCGCTCCAAACTGCAAATTTTGATAGAGATGTGCTGCGTGGTGGCAGTGCTGTGCTGGAGTGGGCCGTTTCGTTCCAGACCCCGTTCCATACCGTTCCATACCCGGTCCAGACCTGGACCACCCATGTACCACCCCTGACCCACTGTTGAACACATGGCAGGTTCTCACATAGACTGCTCGTAAGCCATCCTTTGCGCGTGGGTTATGGGAGGGTAGAGTCTTGCTATGCAGGGACACAATCTACCCCATAGGGACCTCTGAGTTTTAAGAGTAGGAGGTGGGGCCTGCGTGACAGGTCTGAAGCTGAGTCGACAGCTTCACATGGTTGCCAGTGGGTGACACTGGCTACCAGTCGTGTCGTATCTAGTGCACGAGCACTAGCCATGCAAGCCAAACCTGCGTTGAACAGGTGTACAACAAGGATGTCGTGCAGATGAGGAGTAGCTTCAACGTGCATATCCTTGAGAAGTATATATTATATATATATATATATTACATATAATGTATATATATATATATATTTATTTATGTATGGCCTATATTTCATCACACTCCAAAGGTCCGGAACAAGACCAGTTACGAAGCCCCTTCGTTCCATACGTCCGGAACACCGCGGAACGTTCCATACACAATTTTGACTCGGGACCATTTGTCCATCCACTCACCCATCCATCTGTCCATCCATGTATATACTTGTCTCTTTCTGCGGCAGGCTTCAGCTGCTGCGTGGACATCTTCGTGGAAGAGGAAATGGGATCGCGATTGGCATCAGCCACATTCCTATGGTCAGCGCAAGACTCTTTCCACGCAGTGATAACCGGGTTCGTGCTGGCAGGATTGTTTTCCTGACCCTGTGCCCGAAACAAATTCTCCGTCTAGGATTCTTATTCAGACCCAACTTTGGTATTTTCAAAGGCGGGGGGGTGCAACCAAAGAAAAGCGTGGAGTTTCTCGGAGCAAATGGATGAACAGGACCTTGGCCACTGGAACTTTATCCAGAGATGTTTGCCCCCATGGTCCCAAAATTGATTCTCGATATTTTTTGTGTACCATATACGCCTGGGGGTTGTGCCCTTCTTTGGGACTGGCAATTTGTTCCGAAAAACGTTTGGCCCCAAGAAATTTCTCCGGGATAAATTTGGGTACAACCCCCCGTAGGCACCACACACGGGGATAGTGATCGATCTATCTATCTATCTATCTGTCTATCTGTCTATCTGTCTATCTGTCTATCTGTCTATCTGTCTATCTGTCTATCTGTCTATCTGTCTATCTGTCTGTCTACCTGTCTACCTGTCTACCTGTCTATCTGTTGTGCAGTGTCATTCAGTGTAGTGTCGTGTAGTGTAATGTAGTGTAGTGTAGTGGAGTGTAGTGGAATGTAGTGTAGTGTAATGTAGTGTAGTGTAGTGTCGTGTACTTTAGTGTAGTGGAGTGTAGTTGCGTAGTTGTAGTTGTAGTTGTAGTTGTAGTGTAGTGGAGTATAGTGTAGTGTAATGCAGTGAAGTGTAGTGGAAGGTTGTGTAGTGTGATGTAGTGTAGTGTAGTGTCATGTAGTGTAGTGTAATTTAGTGTAGTGTAATTTAGTGTAGTGGAGTGTAGTTGTGTAGTTGTGGCTGTAGTGTAGTGGAGTGTAGTGTAGTGTAATGTGATGTAGTGAAGTGTACTGGAAGGTAGTGTAGTGTAGTGTAATGTACTGTAGTGGGGTGTAGTGTAGTGTAATGTAGTGTAGTGTAGTGCAATTTAGTGTAGTGTAGTGTCGTGTAGTGTAGTGTAATTTAGTTTAGTGGAGTGTAGTGGAGTGTAGTGGAGTGTAGTGGAGTGTAGTGGAGTGTAGTTGTGTAGTTGTGTAGTTGTAGTTGTACTTTTGTGGAGTGTAGTGTAGTGTAGTGTAGTTTAGTGAAGCGACATCTGAAGCTCCAAAAGTGGTCCGAACCCCTAGTGTTTTGTACATTTTGACTTCGAAATGTGCTTCGCGCCACAACGGCGTGCACTTTTTCGACATCTCAACTTCCAAAAGTGGTCCGAGACCGGTGTTTTGTACATTTTGACTTGGAAATGTGCTTCGCGCCACAACGGCGTGCACTTTTTCGACATCTCAACTTCCAAAAGTGGTCCGAAGCTGAGGTGTTTTGTACATTTTGACTTGGAAATGTGCTTCGCGCCACAACGGCGTGCACTTTTTCGACATCGCACCCTCCAAAAGTCGTCCGACGCTGAGGTGTTTTGTACATTTTGACTTGCAAATGTGCTTCGCGCCACAACGGCGTGCAATTTTTCATCTCTCATCTGGCCAGCTGGCTCCGCACCCGCCGCTTTAGCGAGCCTACTTTTCGACCCTCCGGAGCCACAAATCATTGGAAAAACAGTGTTTCGCGACGTTCCTACCTTTTCGCGCACCTGCATCTTCTTTCTTCTGATCTTTTCTCTTCTGACTCTTCTCACCTCTGCTTTTCAACTGTCCATATTGTCGGACGTTTCACTTCTAAACTTCCTTCGACTATTCCGTTCAAATGTGAACACCTAAAAGCCACATACTACAATTGCTGTTTTTGCAGCTGTAAACCCTGTCGGCTTGGCCACACGAGGCGACAGCGGTCCGAGAAACTTCGGGTCGTTGTGCGTGGCGGTGCTGTGCCATTGGAACGGTTGAAGTATTTCGGCGCCTTGGTGGATGTGAGACGGGTATATGCTATATACGCATGTTGTTGCTATATTAACATCGTCGCTCATTATCTTGTTGTATTGGTTTGAAAGATACAGTGTAAACTCACCACCAGCATTGTTAGTGATCGGACGAGGGTAAGGCTCCAACTTGAATGATCGTCTGTTCACTGTGATTTGTTGCAGACCCATGCCTATACCGAGCTTATCAACTTGGGGGGTTTGACATAGTGATAGGTCGTTTTATACACGGACCACCTCTTCTTAGCCAACTAGGGGGCTTTGCATCCAGGGCCAACATCAGTTCTCAAGGGTTTATCTTGAACAATGACTTCTTCTATTGGGTTTCACCATCGTTGAAGAGATCAAGTGCAGAAACCATTCCAGTATTGGTCACGCTTAAGTTGTATGCTTGTATCGGATTTCTTGGCCTCCAGCATGATGTGAGGATCAATTGCTGCCAGCTGGCAAAACGACGACACGAAGGATTTGTATGCTCGCTTTGAAAGCCCGGGCAGCGCTGCTGCCGCTGTCAAGGCTTTGGACCCGGTCGAATGGGACGAATAAATGATTTCGACCACCTGTGATGTGCCCTGAGTCTCGAAAAAGAGTAATTTTACACACCATTCATTTTACGTAAATTTTGGTGATTTAGAGTATATATTTACGTACATATTTAGGTGCAATGTAAATTTAGGTTGCATGTAAATTTATTCAGGTGTTTTCTAAAATGATGTAGGTGTTTTTTTTAGTCTTTTGGTCTATGTTTAAAAAAGTACATTTTTTGTAAAACGGCTAAAAATTATGTATGTCATGAAAGTGTTTTTTCCTTTTTTTAATTGTCTTTTATAAATAGGAAACTGAAAATGTGAACAAAAAAGTCGATTTTTTTTCCTTGTGTGAACAGCAGTGCCTTTACTTGAGTCATCGTCATTGCTTACTTGCGTCATGTGGAGAGGTTTTTTTCTGTCAGATTTTGGCAGAAGCTGAAACGGGACAAAATTAGGAAGCTTGAATATAAGCTGGAGGAGAGCAAGAAGAAACTCAGACTCCGATGACTCCTGCATTTGATTTTGACTGCACTGACAGAGGAGAAAATAAGGGAATACTTTCCTTGTGGCATCTAGGTTTACTTGTGTCCAAGTTGTTTACTTGAGATGAGGTGATATAAACTGATATGAAATTGACAGATTCAAATATTTCATATTCAATTAGATCTTACCAATTACCTTACAATGCCATAGCAAAGTGGAAATAAGTATCTTGTTGTGAACATAGGTTCCATACAGATGAGATTAAAATTGAACAGATGCAAGATTATTTTTTCTGAACGAAAGAAAAGTTTATATGAATTTTATGTTTAGTTTGTATGTAATTTTGAAAATTTCTCATGAAAATTGTCTTGATGTTCATGAGATATTCAGAAACATGTATGAACTTTATATGAAGTTTCTATCTAGTTTCTAGGTAGTTTCTATGTAGTTTCTATGTAGTTTATATGCACTTTTCAAAACTACACAAGAGCTACATGTAGTTTGATTGAAAGTACATGTACTTTTTATGTCGTTTTCAAAACTTCATATAAACTACATAAAAACTACATAAAAACTACATAGAAACTACATATAAACTACATAGAAACTACATATAAACTACATAGAAACTTTATATAAAATTCATACAACTACATTAACAAAATACCTGGGAATTTCTTGCAGTCTGGATTGAAATCTATGAAAACTTGTTGAAATTTTTACCAACACTTAATGTGGAACATAGAGAATTTCCACAAGGTTCCTCAAATACATATCTCATCTCGCGTGTAGATTGTTAGATTTGAGTCATAAGAAAAACATAAAAAACAAAGTAAGAAATACACATATATATTTGTGGATAGATATGTCATTCTGTTTTTCCTTTGTCTATCTACTCCATTATTTTCTCTTGAGGCATTTCTTTTCTTTCAGATTCAGATTATATACCTTTTTTCTTTCTTTCTAGATATGCAGCCGTGTAGGAAGCAGTTGCCATCAAATTATCTAAAACAGTTTTCAAAAGGGAAAAAAAGGTATCTACTCGTCTGCAAGTCCAAGATGTTGCTGCTAAGTAAATTTAAGTTCCTTTTCATGTCCTTAGTAGCGTAGTTGAGACACAGATGCCAGAAGATTTCTGGTACTCCTGTGGTTTGTTTTATTCTTTCCTTCTTTCTTGCTACATTTGCAGTCTCATCTTGAGATGCACCTGTCCCAAGAATAAGAACATTTAAACTCTAAGAGAAACGTGTGCTCTGATGTCATGACAGGTTCTATATGTTCCCTCCTATCCATTTTTTCTAGCAAATCTATATGATGCTTTGAGGTAATAGAACACAAATATACAAAAACAACCACAAAAAAACAAAAGTACATAACACCAAGACTTGGCCAAACACAAAATTATCTTAAAATCACATATTTAGGTGGAAGGTAAAGGTATTTACTAATTTCATTTGCGTTCCCACACATTTACGGTAAATCACTGTAAAATAGTAAATCCCTAAGATGTGTAAAATTACTCTTTTTCGAGACTTCGGGTGAGGGCCTTTAGATTTTATGTCCGGTTTTTCTCGCCGGACCCCAACTATATGTCAGACGAGTGCCGTTGCTGTTTAGAGCCCATTCGACCTGTGGTCACGCGTTTGCATAGAGAGCTCTGTGAGTTTTTTCCTTGGCACCCAGCTACAGAAGCCCAAAGGCTTTGCCTACGTGAACAGTCCTGGCACCATAGCCATTCACTTGACTTTCGACACGACAGCTATCCAAAGCATCTGTTTGAGACGTTCAATCGTGCTTCAATGGCTTGTGCCTCTAACAGCAACGTGGCCCCCCTCTACCGTCATCTATCCAGGTCTAGGTCTATGTCCATTTCTATCGGAACCCCTTCACCACAATGTTTTGTTCAAGGGCATTCAAAAGGTATTTTGCGACCTGTTATAGCGTTTTGATTGTCAAGGACATTTTTTCAAATTTCGAGGGGATAATATTAGAATCTCTCAATATTTCTTTCCGGCACCCCACAAATATTTTCAGCGTCGCACGTGTCAAGGGAGTGAGATATTACAAGGACCACTTGTACGACCTCCCAGGGACGTGTCAAGGGAGTGAGATATTACAAGGACCACTTGTCAGACCTCCCGGGGATAATTTCGGGACCACCAAGGACATACTTACAACACCTCCAAAGGGATCCACGCTGTTTTTTTCCAGTTTGGCGTTGCAACGGACCATCGGCTTTCGACCACTTTGCGGCGGCTGAAAAATGTAGCTGCGTATGTTGCTGTGAGATGAAACCCAGTCACAACCCCCCAAAGAGGTGATCTTAAGAGCCTGACCACACATGTCTTTTTTGAAAGTTACAAGAAAACCTCGCGATCTCATGACACTTTGGGCTATGGCCCCATGTTTGGACAAACCCATGTTCTTTGTTTGAAGACGGGTGCAAAACATGCAGCAAGGCAGGGACAGGTGCAGCTTTCAATTGTCAGATCCTGAAAGAATAGGTGAATCAGACGAGCTTCCAGAAAGGAGGCGCCTTCCTCTAGACTTCCAAAATCAAAGTGCAAGCACGAGTAATTGCAATTGCAGTCGTCCCGCCTTTTCATCCCTCTTCGCTTTTCACTGTAATGACTGGCTGAGGCAGACCCAGACTCTCTACACACTTTCGCCAGGATGGGTTTATTTATTGACTACCTATAGGTAGATAGATAGATGGATTAATTCGAAATAATTAATCTGGATTAGATTAGATTAGATTAGCTTAGATTAGATTAGATTAGATGATGCAACCACTTTTGTTTGTGACGACGACGACGACGACGGCGGCGGCGACGACGACGACGACGACGTTTCGGGCGGTCCTCGTGCGCCAGTGTGCTGTGACAAGGCCACAATGGTGGATGCTAAGGCCCATCTACTATACCCCCAGTATATGTAGGGCGCCCCTCTGTTACACTTTGCCTGCTTTGCATCCGTGCTGTGACAGCGCCACAAAGGTGGATGCTAAGGCCCACCTGCAATACCCCTCACCAATATCATCCTAATATGCATGCTTTCCATTGCAGCGACAACAACAGCATCAACGCAACAGCCAGAAAACAGGAAGAAGAACACGAAAAGGAAGCTAACGAAGAAGAAGAAAACGGAGAAGAAGAAGAAGAAGAAGCAGAAGAAGAAGAAGGAGAAGAAGCAGAAGAAGAAGAAGAACAAAACCAAAAAGAAGAAGACGAAGAAAAACAAAACGAAAAAGAAGAAGAAGAAGAAAAAGAAGAAGAAGAAGACAGAGACGTCACAAGCGAACAGACATGGGGAGGAGGACGAGGAGCAGGAGGAGGAGAAGAATATATTGAAGAAGTAGTAGGAGACGAGGGCGGCGCGGTGGGGGGCGCGGGGGGAGGGCAGCGCCTCCCCCCGCAGAGCGTGACAACAACAGCATCAACGCAACAACCAGAAAACAGGAAGAAGAACACGAAAAGGAAGCTAATGAAGAAGAAGAGGAAGAAGCAGAAGAAGAAGACGAAAGAAGAAGACAGAGACGTCAAAGCGAACAGACATGGGAGGGACGAGGAGCAGGAGGAGGAGGAGAATATATAGAAGAAGTAGGAGGAGACGAGGGCGGCTAAAAAAGCGGGTGGGGGGCGCGGGGGGAGGGCGCAGCGCCTCCCCCCGCAAAGCGTTCCAGTGCAGCAACGACAGCAACATCAACAAAAACAACCCGGAAGAAAAAGTCGGAAAAAAAAAGAACACAGAAGAAAATGAATAAGAAGACGTCACCAGCGAGCATACCTGCCATTACCTGCCACAATTGCCTGCTTTGCTTCGGTGCTGTGACAACGCCACAAAGGTGGATGATATGGCCCACCTTCCATATCCCTGCTAAGTCTGGGAATATTAATATAGACCTCTTCTGGATATAGCCTCTAACTCTGACCTTCTATTTGACGAAGCTACGGACACTCCGCCTGCCGCAACGCCCTGCTTTGCTTCCGTGCTGTGACAACGCCACAATGGTGGATGCTAAGGCCCACCTCCTATATCCCCAGTATGTGTAGCGCTTCGGCTTTGCCTGCTTTGCGCCCGTGCTGTGACAACGCCAGAAAGGTGGATGATAAGGCCCACCTACGCTGCCCCTGACGACGTTTGTCATCGCTTTTTCCCTTTTGACTTGCCCATAGAACACCGCCCCCCTCTGGCAACCTGGCCCTGCTGGCAAGTGGTTTCGGGCGGTCCTGGTGCGCCAATGTGAGACGGTGTCGGATACACCCCTCGCAGCGGCAATCCGCGGCCGCTGTTCCACTGCTCTCTGGCCATGCATGCGCAAAAACTCTTGCCAGGAGCGGACTTGTCATAACTGCCTGCTTTGCTTCCGTGCTGTGACAACGCCACAATGGTGGATGCTAAGGCCCACCTACAATATCCGTCGTCAATATCCTAATATGAATATAAAGCTCTGTTGCATATAGCTGCCCCCTTCTCTTTCACGAAGCGACAAACACCCGACCTGCCGCAACTGCCTGCTTTGCTCCTGCTCATGAGAAGACCCCTGCAAAGAAGAACGAACATTGCAGCGGTGCACGCTAGGGCGTCTCCTGCACATAACAGGACCAGGAGGCGAGGGAGGAGGAGGAGGAGGAGGAGCAGTAGAGGGCGGCTAAACATGCGGGTGGGGGGCGCGGGGGGAGGGTGCAGCGCCTCCCCCCGCAGAGCGTTCCATTGGAGCGACAACAACAGCATCAACGCAACAACCAGAAAACAGGAAGAAGAACACGAAAAGGAAGCAAATGAAGAAGAAGAGGAAGAAGCAGAAGAAGAAGAAGACGAAGAAGAAGATGAAGAAGAGGAAGAAGCAGAAGAAGAAGAAGAAGACGAAGAAGACGAAGACGAAGAAGAAGATGAAGAAGAAGCAGGAGAAAAACAAAACGAAAAAGAAGAAGAAGAAGACAGAGACGTCACAAGCGAACAGACATGGGGAGGAGGACGAGGAGCAGGAGGAGGAGGAGAATATATAGAAGAAGTAGGAGGAGACGAGGGCGGCTAGAAAAAAACGACAGCAGCAACACATCAACAAAAACAACCCGGAAGAAAAAGTCGGAAAAAAAGGAACACAGAAGAAGAAGAATAAGAAGACGTCACCAGCGAGCATACCTGCCATTACCTGCCACAATTGCCTGCTTTGCTTCCGTGCTGAGTAGGCTGTGACAACGCCACAAAGGTGGATGATATGGCCCACCTTCCATATCCCTGCTAAGTCTGGGAATATTAATATAGACCTCTTCTGGATATAGCCTCTAACTCTGACCTTCTATTTGACGAAGCTACGGACACTCCGCCTGCCGCAACGCCCTGCTTTGCTTCCGTGCTGTGACAACGCCACAATGGTGGATGCTAAGGCCCACCTCCTATATCCCCAGTATATGTAGCGCTTCGGCTTTGCCTGCTTTGCGCCCGTGCTGTGACAACGCCAGAAAGGTGGATGATAAGGCCCACCTACGCTGCCCCTGACGACGTTTGTCATCGCTTTTTCCCTTTTGACTTGCCCATAGAACACCGCCCCCCTCTGGCAACCTGGCCCTGCTGGCAGGTGGTTTCGGGCGGTCCTGGTGCGCCAATGTGAGACGGTGTCGGATACACCCCTCGCAGCGGCAATCCGCGGCCGCTGTTCCACTGCTCTCTGGCCATCCGGACGAAAAAGTCGAAAAAAAAGGCCGGCAGAAGAAGAAGAAGAATAAGAAGAATAAGAAGACGTCACTAGCGGGCATACCTGCCATTACCTGCCACAATTGCCTGCTTTGCTTCCGTGCTGAGTAGGCTGTGACAACGCCAGAAAGGTGGATGATAAGGCCCACCTACGCTGCCCCTGATGACGTTTGTCATCGCTTTTTCCCCTTTGCCTTGCCCATAGACCGACCGCCTTTGGCAACCTGGCCCTGCTGGCAGGTGGTTTCGGGCGGTCCTGGTGCGCCAATGTGAGACGGTGTCGGATACACCCCTCACAGCGGCAATCCTCGGCCGCTGTTCCACTGCTCTCTGGCCATGCATGCACCAAACTATTGCCGTGAACTGACTTGTCATAACTGCTTGCCTTGCTTCCGTGCTGTGCCAACGCCACAAAGGTGGATGATAAGGCCCCCCTACAATATCCCTCATCAATATCCTGATCTTAATATAAACCGCAGAAGACGCAGAAAAACAAGACGAAAAACAAGATGAAGAATAATAATAAGAAGAACCCCTGCGCCCCTTTACTGGGTCTGTTATACTGAGATTCGCGCGCAGCTTCCTACTTCTTATTTGCTCCTGCATCATTCCGCAACATATATTTGCACAGCGACCTGCTGTCTGTTGCACCGGCTCAGAGATTCAGTTGCGTATTCTCCTCCCTTGCTTCACCAGGCTGTCTCCAACACGCTGGACCGCCATGCCGCAAAAACGCGCTCGTGCTTTGGCCGATGCAGCGCGCGGGTGCGAAGACATTCGCATTGCGCTGCAGCGCGGCACCGTGGTATCAAAGTCCACCCCAGGGGCACTGAACCTCACCGCGTCCCAAGAGGCAGCTATCGCTGAGTGGCCGCTCGCTTTGGTGCAGCCTGCTGTCCGGGCCTGGAAAGACACTACAGCAGATTCTGCGCCGCTTCTGCTCCAAGCCAATATCAATTTGATCCCTGAAGCTGTGCTCCTGGCATTTCACATGGCCCCCACAGACATTGCCTCTCCCGAAGAAGTGGACGCTCTAAAGGAGATTGCGCACGTCGCTGCTTCATGGTGGAAGCTCCAGCGCGAATCCATGCAAAGGCTTGGCGTCCTGGCCACCGATGTTGACTGATTGGCGTCATCTGTCACTCTCCGTGGAGCTGCGCCACCAGATGCATTTTCTGGTGGTTGTTTTTACTTCTGTCGAGGGTATCGGCGAGGTACTCTTTGCAGGTACGCTCTCAGAACCGCAGCAGCAAAAAAGGGCTCATTTTGTTTCTGCGGCATTTGGCCACGAAAGCGTCCCCGCGCCTAACATGTGTTCTGCACACCATGCCCACCATGTGCACTTGGCCACATCTCGCGCTGGCCTTTCGTCTTGGCATGCCACACATATGCAATGCATGCGCTGCTGCAGCCGTTTCTGCTCGGGTGCTCACTTTCGTCCCCACGCTTGTTTTGCTCATGGCGCTGCCATTGTCCAATTTGCCAACGGATGTCCTATGTATGCTTCTGACCTTCCTGGGTGTACGCTCTGCGCCCTTGCTCATTGCCTGCCATTCAGCCGTCTGTTCAGCTGCTGCGCTGCGTGAATTACGAGCTGTGACGCGCTTGGTGCAGAACACCTTGCGCATACCTCTTCACATTTCTTCGCTGCCTTTGCAAGACATTGCCTCCGCGGCTGCTTCCTATGTCCGACTTTGCCGTTTCCTGTCATCGACTGTCCAGCATTGCGTGCGCCAAGTGGAAGACATGCAGCTGGCGTATCCAACGTTTGCCGACAGGGCGCCCTGCGTTGCGCACATCAGTGCCCCCAGGGACACTGCTTCACCCATGCAGATGCTTTTACGCTTTTTGAACGTACCGGACGGGGGCCCGGTGTATGGCATCTTCTCTTGCAATCCACTTGCTGCGTGGTACGGCTTGAATGGACGCGTGCACGCCCACCGGCGCACCGTGCGGGAATTCGCACGCTTGCTCCGCATGGGCAGCGGGTCCTTCGCTGTCACTCCGTGCAGCGTGTTGGAAGACCGGCGCGCCACTTTTCGGCTGAGCTTCAGTGTCCTTGGGGTGTGTGGCGCGCTCGTCGCAGTGGAACCGTTTGCCGATGAGGTCTCGCTCGTGGCACCTTGACGTCGCACCCCTCCGCTGCGCTGCGGCTGCCCCTCGTCCCACACTTGCATGCTCCTGACAGAGCGCGTCTTGATTCTGAGGAATCGATCGGGCATTGCGACGCGATTTTCACGCAAGTTCTGGACCGCCACCACACAGGAAAAATCCTCGACGTGACCGCATGCTGTCAACGACTCTGCCACTGCAATCATCTGCTTGCATGTGTTTGTATGCAACCTACATGTGGGAATCTTATGGAATATTTTGCTTGTTTGTGTTTCTCTGATAGCGCGTTTTCGCTGGACAGGAATCAGACACGCAGTGCTATACATTTCATGCGTTCTTTCCTTGCCATGTCATGCTGCGCAGTTGTGAACTGACCTGTCACTGTGTCTGCACACCTGAACATCCCCTGCTTTGGAGTTTGGCTCAAATCCCTTTTCTTTCGTCTCGATCCTGCACCCCAATGGCGATGTCTTTGCTTGTGCTCCTGACAGCCGGGGACCTGCTCTCCACACTGGCTCAGGTCGTGCCATTGCCCAGCTTCTTGCTGTTGCTCGGCATTGCCCGGCTGTGGTCACTTCCTGAGCAGATCGCTCTGCTGCGCCGGCACAATTCTCTCTACAATTTCGTCATGGATTGCGTATATCCGGCGCTGCTTCAAGGCATCTACTGCCCAGGCATTGGGCGCGCCCCAAGCGGCATCTTTTGCGCCGACAAGGCCGCCGCGACATTGTCTGCCGCTGTGAGACGGCTGCTTCGTGTTGACGCTGCTGCCTCGCAGCCCGTGGCAGCATTGCTAGCAGATGCCGCTGGGGGGCCAATGGCCGCTTGGCATTTGTGCAATCCGGATACTCCGGCGTGGATTTCTCTCTCCGGCCTTCTAACCGACCGGCGCCTCCATCACCAGCGACATTTTGAGTTCTACCATTTGCCCGGTGGCTCGCGCTGCTTTGTTGTGCATCTTTTGCTGGATAGCTTCCGGTTCGCTCTGCTCTTCGAATCAGCACCCCCTGGTGTTGTGGAAATTGATTGAGATTGATGCGAAGCTGCTTCGACGCTCCAAAACTGTGAGATTCTGAGGAATATCGCCGTGCCCTTCCCTGATCGTGCGGATTTCGCTGACATGTTAAAAGGTTCCCTGTGCTACGCTGTCCGGTTGTTCTCGCTGTTTGCGTGCAAACACTTCGATGTTTGGTTGCGCTTTGTGACTCTTTCCCAGCGACTTGTTGCACGATTCTGCGTTTCCTGCAGCCATTTCTGCTCCACTGCCACAGCCGCGTCGCTGCTGCGCCCTTCTACCTTCTTTTCGTACTTTGCTATGGCTTCTGCTGCGCTGGCGTCCCTGCCCGTGGACGTCCTGCTGCGGTTGCACATCTTCCTGGGGTGGCAACTGGCTCCGGTCTTCGCGCGGGTGGCCCAGTGTGCTGCGCCCTTGGCAATCCTTGCGCACGCGGAACAGCAGCTGTGGCTTCTCTCACAGGCGCTCATGGAACCAATCCCGGTTCCTACCATGCCGACGCTGCTGCGTCAGTATGGTGCTGTGTGCAAGGAAGCCGCCGCAGCCGTCCTTGCACGGCTTGCCGGCCTCACCGCGGCCGATCTCGTCTGGCCCGGCCTCCACGAGGCTGCGCCCGCGTCCCTGTGGCGCCGCACATGGCACGACAGCAGCGCCACTGTCGAAGCCATCCGGCGCCAGGTTCTGGCTCGGGAAGCCTTCGACCTATCGAACTATCTTGCCTTTGACCTGGGCATCTCGCCGCAGCCACTGGTTGCATGGCAGGAATTGAACAGGGAAGAGCCCGAGGCCGACGAATTGGTGGCGGGCTTTCTGGACCTCATCGACGCTGGTGAGGCAACGTACCTTTTTTACCCACCAGACCTGGAAAGCGGCCGCCCACCCTGCGTCCTCCTGAATTTCACCGTTTGGGGGGTGGGCGGCACGCTGGCTATCGAAGAGCCAGAAGTGGACCCAGCTGGATTCTACATCTAGGTGATGAGCCGTGCTGGAGCTGCACTATGCCTGTCGGATGTGAGCTTTTCTAAGCATATCGTACGTCGTGCATGTCACTCCTTCGGATTCGCACTGACATGCAAAAGGTCGAATGTGCTGCGCCCGTCCGCACCTGCGAGTCTTGCTTCCAACATCGCTTTCCAAGCCGTGCCTTCCAACCCTGCATGGGGTGTGCCTGTCATGCATCGAATGTTTTCTACTTCTGTGGTCCTGTTGCCTGCATGTTTCTTCTGGCTCAAGCTGTGTCATTGTTTCATGTTCTATAGATCTGTACGGAAGCGCGCGCCACGTGGCTGAACATGGACCCTGCCAGCTCTGCTGAGGTCATGGTGCACCTGACGCACTGCCCCTTCTGCGTGCCTGCTGCGCCTCTGCGCGCCGACACCACGTCCTCCCAGGTCTGGGGCTTATCCTACTCCAGTGGCTTTCAAAAACTTTCGGTCCGACGCAAGCGGTGCGATTCCTGCCGCGCCCTCTTCCTTGGCTGCTGGGCCTACTCCCCTGGTGGTCACTCACGCACGCGAATCGCGTGTCATCCGAGGGAGTCGGCTTGGTTCTTCTTCCGAGAACGGATTCATGCAGGCAGCTTCGTTGCAATGCATGTCGACTACCTGCGGTTCATGACCACTGCCTTCATCTTCTTGCGCGCGTCCTTTTCGGGGCTCGTCAAAACTGTCCACGCCATGTTTCCTGGGCACCGACTCAACCCGAACGATTGCCAGCGCTGTCTGGAGCATGGCTGGTTCTTACACTCTGCACTGAGCAACACCTGGAGTGAAGCAGAGTTGTTAGGCGAGGACTTTGACTTGCGCCTCGATTCTCTGGATGCAACTCTTTTAGGCTACGAACCACGCCTTCGTAGCCTTCTGCATCAAACAGGTTCGACGCATCATTGTGGCGCATGCGCGAACCCAGTGCTCACGGGAGACGGTGGCATGAAACTGACCACCTCTCTCTGCAACGAGCGCACCAGCGCGTCTCTCAGAAGTGAGGAGCTGGGCCTCTCCATTCCCATCGGCTGCACGTGCCGCCCGATCCGGGGATCTTTGTTCTGCAGAGCACACCAAGCTGACGCTGCCGAAATGCTTCCTCCCGAAATACGCGATCACAGGCGCGTGACAGGGCAGGGGCGCCTATCCTTTCGGTACACTGGGAGTGACGACTTCCTGCCCGTACAGTCCATGTCTGCTATTCGTCTTCGACAGTACGATTCTCGCCTTGCTTTGCTGGACTACGCTGCTGCAGACCCTACGCGCTTTGCGCCTGGTGAGTGCAACCCGGTGGGAGAGGCCGGCACTTAGCTGGCCTTGCCTTGCTCCGGGGTAATTTAGGATTATAAAAGTATATATAGATGTGAAAGAAACAATAAAAACCATTCTCAATTGATTTCACTGCCTCCCATGGGTTGCCTTTTTCGGGCAGGTTGTGTCTGTGTTTGTGCATATACCCCCGTTCGTCGCGCCGTGCCAGGATGCATTGCGTATGGATGATTCAGATTATGAAGCCGTGAAGGCATGCAACTGCCTCAAGGACGAACGAAAGAGATTGGCAGTTCGTCGGTATGCAGGTGTGTTTGTGGTGGTGCTGCCCTGTGGGCATATCGTTACCGTGCACCATCTGGTTGGGGCGGAGAGTTTGCCGCAAGTCGCCTATTGCTTTGCTCAGGCGCTGAACATCACCGCCGGCAAACGTTTCATTTGCTATGACAATGCCTGCGCGCTGGCGCGCTTCTGTCGGAACCCCGTGCGGGCCGCTCAGATGCAAATCTTTCGCGACCGTGTCTTTGTTCTTCCGGAGTCCCATCTCCGAGGGCACACGGCGTGCCTTGACCCGTCCCATCAATTTTTCTTGCCGGAAGTGCGCAAGTCCGCGCATCCGGAACTGGCCGGGGTCAACACCGAAGCACAGGAACACGTCTTTGCCTGGGCTCGCTGGCTGGTTCACGTTGCCAATCCAATGAAACCAGTTCGTCATCGTGTGTTTTTCCTTCTCCTCTGTTTGGCGCGCAACGAGCATCGGGGTCTCGGAGCACGCCCCAGAGCTAGCCGCCCCAACCGGAACTGGAATGTATGGCGTGGCGCTTTCCCTCGCCGACCTGCGGACGGTGATGATCCAGAACAGCCTGCGCCTGAGCATGCTGCTGTGCCTGCCGCAGCGGTCGCCGCAGCGCCGCTCGACGCGCGGCCTGTTGCCAATGATGACGTGCAGCCGTCACTTCTCTTGAATCTCCGCGACAACAAGCTTCATCGATTGGCAGCGCCGTTGCGTATCTCCTGCGGTGCAACTCTGCCCAAGCGCTGGCGCTACCTTTCTTCGAGAGATGAGGTCGCCCGCTCCAAGCTTTGCCTGCGCAACGGCTGCTTCTCTCCTGGCGCAGATTTTTAATTGCGCCTTTGTTCTCAACTAGGCGTTTTCAAGCGTTCGTGGATTCACAGCTGCTCGGGGGAAAAAAATGGCCCGTTGCAGCCACTGTGTGTGCCTGTCGCTAGGTTATACCCTGTTTTATAGCATGTGTCCTTCCAGTGCGGCATTCCAGCGGCACATTGTCACGCATTTAGCAAATTCTGGCGGATGATGGGGCAATTTCGGCCGACTTCCGCTCTCACATCATGCCTCATGCATTCACTCTAGCCTGTTCGGTTCACATCCTTCTTGATATTGCGTGCTCCTTTTCGCTGACCCCCACGAGCCATGTGCATTTTCGCGCACGCGGTGTGGTCTACGCTTGCGGCCTTCGTCTTTTGCAAGGTCTTTTCCAACCTACAGGCTGGCTATGCGCGCTTCTCTCGAAGGGCTTCAACCACGCGCGCTCATTTCCTCCTGGTTCGTGCTCGTTGCTTGGCTTGCATTCAGAAAGTTTTGTTTTCTATAGGCTTGAGCACCCCCGCAGTCTTACACAACCACCTTGTTTTGCTTGGCTTCATCTCTCCTGCAGGACCTGCTGAAGCTCTGCGGCGCGCGCGCTGTCGTGCGACTGCCTCCTTCCTCTTGCACCTGTGCCTTTACGCGCCGGCGCTCCTTGCCTTGGCCGTTGCATTGAGTGCCTTCGCTGTGCTGTATATGGCGTGCTGCTTGCTGCGCTATACGCTGGGGCGGCTACTCTACGGTGCTGACCAGGCGCAACAATGCTGCGCGTCTGCCGCTCCGCCCCCGCTGACTAACGAAGGATTCCTTTGCACTGATGAAGACGCGGATTATTTCGTGGAGGTCTTGCCTTTTCGTCTGCTGCCCCTGCCCCTTGGCTCCAACACGGGACAGCTATCATTGGTGTTCCTGTTGGGTTCCTTCTTTCTGATCCCTCCCATCCCCGTCTCTTCTTTTCCTTTGTCATGTCATGTCACCTCTTCGTTGCTCCTTGCTGAGGCTCACCGATCCAGCATTCGAAGGTCATTTACTGCGAGCTCTCCATGGACTTTCTTCTGTTCCTGCATTTTCTTTCGTGCTGCTGCTGTCTCATTCTGCACGGTCCAATTGGAACTTGCTTTGCAGCCTGGAAGCAACTTTGGTCGGGGACGCCTCGAGTTTGTGCGCTGCCATTGTGCCCGTGCTTCGGCCAATCCTGCCTGAACAGCTGCGAATCTTGAGCCTGACCACGGGCCATGCCTATATACCATTCGCCCTCGAAGCACCTGCCCCGGATCAACCCTTGCCCGCCATATGCCAGGATGCGTGTGGGGCTTGGAGCTGTGGTTTCCTCACCCCCTACATCATGGAACCTGCCCCTTCGGAGCCAATGGCACTTTGCGAGGCTACTTTGGATGCTGCTGCAGAGGCTGCGACTTCTGAGCCAAGTGCTACCCGCAACAATGTTCCGGCCATCGCTCCGACACCGGCTACTTCTGAGCAACGTGCCTGTGGCAACCTTCTGAACTGTTCTGCAGAACCGGATCTTTCTGACCCAAGTGACACTCACAACCCTCTGGACACAGCTGCAGAAACAGCCACTTCTGAGCAAAGTGCGCTGGACAGCATTGAGGATATTGTCGCGCAGAGCTTCCAACATGATGCGAATTCCTTTCTTGGAGCTCTCGGCTGCTTGGCCCCTTTTTCCTTCGAGGTGATGCTTGCTGCTTTGAATGAGTCGCGATCCATTGATTGCCCTTCACTGACATGGGCCCAGGTGTCGGCTCTAGTTTCCTGTCTCGTTGCGGCCCTCCCTCAGGGCATCATCATCCGCAACCTCGACCCCGCGATCACTTGGTGGGTTGCGGGTGGTGGCTACCATCGACACGTTGCATTCTGGGATGTATCTCCGTACCTCTTCTTGGAGCGAGATCCAGAAGGACGCTACCGCCCATTGATGCACTTGCCACTTTCCATGCATCCCGACATGTCACTTGAGCTCCAACTTTCCACGTGTTGGATTGCAACTTGCGAACCACCCCTTCGGGCAACGGTGCCTGGCAATTGCTTCTTTGCAGCGCTCGGCTATGATCGCAATGTCCTTCTCACGCTTGCGCTGCAAGCTGCGTACGCGCTGCCAATGCGCACGAGGGCCCGCATCGTGCAACGTCTTCTGACCTTGCTGGTGCCTGGTACTTGGGTCAATGCTTTGGATGCTCAGATCTTCGTCAACCTCCTGCCAGCTTGGTTCCCCAATGGCCTGTTCATCTTCAGTGCTGAAGGTCTGCTGCTGCATTTTCGGTCTTCTCAAGCGCCAGAGAGCCTGCTCCCCGAGGACCGGTCGCTTCTGTCCCCGTTGTTTTGAACATGTTGATGCACCACGGCCTACCGTTTTCCTTTTTTACCCTTTGCTTGTTTCTCCCTTTGCCGTTTCATGTTCCCTTTCAGGCGTTGTGTGCGCTTGGCTCCGCTCCGCTGCTTTACTATGATTGCAATCATTTCTCCCGCGCCGCCCTGTGGGCGCGTGGTTCCACCCAATGGTTCGGCGAGACGAGGCAGCATGACACATTGAGGTCGCACCGAGTCCTTCGCATCCCTGCGCACTGGGTTTCAGCGTTTGCGGTCCGCATGTCAGGGGGCGTCCGCAAGTTTTCCGAGAAAGAGATCTTGGACGCGTTTGGCTCGGCTGAGGAAGTGCCATTTCCCATGGCTGCTCTCGAGGAATTGCTGCCTGAGGTCTGCGGGCATTGCAAGCTGGTGGCAGACACCTTGAGCGTGCCCCTTTCTTGGGTTCTGCTCACCGAAGTCTGTGCTGCAGCCTTCTTGGCCCCGACCTCCGTGCTCATGCCTACTAAAACCATGCCGCTATATGCGATGCCGTGGGCCTTCATTCTGCATCCTGGTGCGACCCAGACCAGTGGATTGATGTCGACCTATAGTCGCACCTTCCGCCAACTTGAACTGTGGGAAACCGATTTCCAAGTGCGATTGGCAAAGGAGCAACCCCGGCAGAATGAACAGGTGCAGGAGGGGCAAGATGCAGGTGAACCTGTCCAAAAACGCGCGCGCTCCACTGCCCCCGCTGCTATGCACATGGGGTTTACGTCAGGGAGCCTTGATGGCATTGTCGGCCGCATGGCCGAACCACAGAACATAAGCCGTGCAGCGGCATTCTTGGCCGAAGGCCTTATCTTTTTGAGCTGGATTTCTGATCTTTGCTCCTCTCACAAAGGGTTGCTCACACAGCTCACCGATCGACTCCTCTGGGACAAAGTCACGGTCAAGGCTCGTTTTGCGTCACGCTTTGCCATTTCCATGTCTTGACATGTCTTGACATTATTCATTGCATCTGTTCCTGCTGCATCTTCTGGTTGTCATTCTTGTTGTTCCCCCCTGGCCTGTCAGGACCGCACGACCGTCATGGTCGACGCCCCCTTCTTGGGCATTTGTGCTGCAGTGCATATGGAAGAACTGATGTCGGCCATTGGCGTTGAAGACCCCCTGGGGTTAAGGGAGCGGTTGCTGATCATCTACGAGCGTCCTCGCTTTGTCCGCTCGTCGGAACTGCAAGAAGCATGCTCCCGCATCCCTGCCCAATCCCTTCACGCGCATCTTGCAACTCACTTTTGGGCCCTTCATTGTGTGCATCATCCACAGCACCCCCCCAAGTCCCGCTTCGTCGCGGATCTCAATTACCACTGGTTGAAATACAGCTGGCAAGAAGATGCGGCGAAACTGTTTTGGGACAACTTCGATGACAGGGCCGGAGAACAGGAGGCCGCCTACCGCCTCGACCAGCAAGCGGCCAAAAGAGCTGGCAAGTGGAAAACTCGCCATTTCCGCTTGGCTTTGCCTTTTCACAACTTAGCACAGGCTTGCGCGAGGACCAGTATAGAGGACTGGAACACTGAGGTGTCCTACAAGGCTGCCAAGGCGAGCCTCATCTTCAGCACCTGGATGGATGACGTCTTTCAACGCCTCGACTTGCTGCGCGCTGCGCCTTTGCCACCTCCAGGCCCCGCAGCCGCCGCAGCCCCATCACCACGCGAAGACCTTCGAACTCTGCTGGCTTCCGCTTCCCTTGGCGCTGTCCTGAGCAACCAAGTGAATTTGCCCCATCTTCGCATTTTCATGCTGGCTGTCCTAGCGTCCGAGAAAAGGCCACTCTTGCGAAATCACGACGTCTTGCACCTGAAGCCCGTTTTAGCCTTGAATCTGCAGGCTGCTGCAGGGATATACCACAGCAACCGCGCTCTGAAAGCATTGAGCCTGCTCGGGTTTGGTGTGGTCACTTTAAGCACCAACACATCGGGCACAAAGGTCCTGTGGTTCACGAAAATCCCTTCGGAGGACTATGCCAGTCCTGCCCTGCAGCGCAGTCGGTCTGCCTTGGCGATCCCAGAGCCGAATGGCTTTATTTCGTGGAACCGTGCACAAATCTTGCAAAACAAGCAGAAGAACCAGGAAGCCATCGTCTACCCTGATCTGGCTGCTGCAGAGGTGCAAGCCTCGATCGCCGCCGCTGCCACCGCCTGGGAAGAGATCACCACGGCGCCAGTATGACTTTTAAAAAGCTCCGCCGCGGTCAGCCTGCTGTCCCTTTTCCCTTGGCTTGTGCCGTTTGCTCGCTGTTGGATGGCGTCCTTGTACCTTGCAGCCTTCTCTGTCCAGGCATACCTTTCCTTTGCAGCATTTTTGGCTCTGTCGCGCCCGTTATCGTTCTAGCGCGTCGGCTGACCCTCAGCAGGCGCGGCGCTGCTTCGTGCATGTCTGCCTGTCGATCGTCCATCCCTCTTGCCCATCCGACCGACGAACCCCCTATGCCGCTACACCACCAACGAAACCGACCCGCCATGCCTCCGTCCCCCCAACCACACACACACACAACCGCACCCACAACCACAACCACAAGAGAATCAACTGCAACAACAACACCCGCAACAACAAGAAGAACCCCTTCCGCCCTCACTTGCCTGGCCGCTCCGCCGCCCTGCCTCCGGATCCTTCTCCTTTGCAGAGAACACCTCCCCCCTTCCAAAAGATTCCCCCCCCCTCCAAACAAGATCCCTTCCCCACTTCGGCAAGAAACCCCTCCCCCTTCGGAGAAGACCCCCCTCTTCCTAAGCAGACTCTCCCCCCCCCCTTCGAGAAGACCCCCCCCCCCTTCCTAATAAGACCCCCCCCCCTTCAGAGAAGACCCCCCCCCCCTTAAATACTCCCCCCCCCTTCTTCTTTTTGAGCGGGCGGGGGGGCCTGGGCCACAGGGTTCGGCAAAGACCCCCCCCCACCTTGAAGCCCCCCCCATCCCTACCCTATCGATGCGGTCTGAAAGCGTCTGCGTGTAAAAGTCTCTCTGTGTAAAAGTGTTTGTGTGTAAAAGTGTTTGTGTGTAAAATTGCCTGTGTAAGAGCCTCTGTGTGTAAAAATCTCTGTGTGTAAAAGTCTCTGTGTGTAAAAGTCTCTGTGTGTAAAAGCTTCTGTGTGTAAAAGCCTCTGTGTGTAAAAGCGTCTGTGTGTAAAAGTGTTTCTGTGTAAAATCGTCTGCGGGTCAAAGCCTCTGTGTGTAAGTGTAAAAGCGTCTGTGTGTAAACGCGTCTGTGTGTAAAAGCGTCTGTGTGTAAAAGTCTCTGTGTGTAAAAGCGTCTGTGTGTAAAAGCGTCTGTGTGTAAAAGAACCTGTGTGTAAAAAGAGCCTGTGTGTAAAAGCGTCTGTGTGTAAAAGCGTCTGTGTGTAAAAGCGTCTGTGTGTAAAAGCGTCTGTGTGTAAAAGCTTCTGTGTGTAAAAGCTTCTGTGTGTAAAAGCGCCTGTGTGTGTAAAAGTCTCTGTGTGTAAAAGCGTTTGTGTGTAATAAAAGTGTTTGTGTGCAAAATTGTCTGTGTGTAAAAGCGTCTGTGTGTAAAAGTCTCTGTGTGTAAAAGTCTCTGTGTGCAAAAGCGTCTGTCTGTAAAAAGTTCTGTGTATGAAAAACTTTACAAAAATACGATGCAAACTATTGTCTTGTACTAGTCATATATTGTCTTGATACTACTCTTCTCGTCTGCCTATAATACATCTTTAATATATTATCTTGTAATATAGTGTCTCCATACTAACAACAGAAGACTCTGCTCCTCTACGCTCTCGGGCCATCCGTCGTCTAGTTTTTAATCGGCACCTTAGCACCTTGGTGCCAGGCTCTGTGTGGATTTGAGCAGCGGGGGACGGGGAGGTGTTCCCGAGAGGGATTGCTGTCTGCTGGAAGTGGAAGGCTGGTTCCAGTGGGGACGGATTTAATAGAGATGGCATGTGTGGCAGTTTTTTTTTCTGAATATTTTGGGCCATCACTTGGATGAGGTACTAGGGCCATCACTTGAACAGACAAGGTCACGGTCATAGAGGCGTTGAGGGAAGATGATGTTCCCAGTGAGGCATATTGGAGTCACAAAACACGGGTATCATTGTTCCAAGAGAGTATGTACCATATTTCTTGTTTCCTAAATTCCTGACCGAGAAACACGGTTTTTGCTGCTTAAATGCAGTAAAATCATTCTTTTTTGAGCACTCTGCTTGCATTATTAACTCCATCCCCGGTGGCGCCCAACAAAACACCAGGTAGATTGCATGCTGTGCAGGTGCGCAGAAGCGGGAAGGGGTGACACAACTGGTGTAGGTTGCATCATGCCATTGGATGTCAATGATGTCAATTATGTCATTCCATAATGGCAGTGTATTGAAGATCACCATCCTCTAGTGACCATTAAGGGCGGGGATGCACATGCACAGGATATGCACATGCACGTGGGCATAGAATGGTGGTCGATCCGTGAGCGACAACAGTGGCGTTTTGTGCACGACAGAAAGCGGAGATCAAATCGTGGGAACCCAAAACCAAGAAGGAATCCCTAGTTGATACTGACTGGAATCGCTGCTTGATACTGACATATACTGACCATCAAACAATCCCTACTTGATACTGACCCATCAAACAATGGCGCCTTGTTCAGTCCGTTCACATCTTTAGACACCATTCACATGGCTTTGATCGCCCATCAGGTGCATTACTTAGACGAGCCTTCGGGTGACTACGTGGAAAGCGCTGTGAACGTGGTCCGATGGCTCGGTGGCTGATGGATTTTCGGTGGATTTTCGGCCGTTCAGAATGATTTTACCATCTGGTTATTTAACATAGCCATGGAAAATGACCCATTTATAGATGGTTTACCTATTAAAAATGGTGATTTTCCATGGCTATGTTAGTCATAACCAGATGGTAGATGAAAAAAAACCAGCGAAGCTTCACTTTGAGTTTCTTGAATAAATGACTCCATCATTCGTTCAACAGTTTCACTTGGGAGATTTTTAAAAGGCCAACTTTTATCAATGACAGATCCAACGACGCCTGACCCCCAGGTCATGAACATCCACCGCAATCTGCCAGAGGGGGACATCTTGGTCTTCCTCACTGGGCGAGAGGAACGGTGAACAACTCATCCACTTTCCGGGATGAACCACCGTAGACCTTGAAATACCGAACATGTAGAAATATGAGGCTTTTGTATCATTCAATATATTCAATCAACAACATATATATATATACAGTATATATATATATATATATTTAAAAAAATCTAAATGATTTGCATACATTGCATACGTGTTTCATTGTGTTTCTATGATTTGTATGTGACGATTTGCAGATTAGACTGCAGCTCAACAACCGATGGTTGTTCACGGCCGGTGGGGTGGGATGCAGATTCCAGTAGTTGCCAACGATCCTATTGGGGGGTTACAATGATCCTACCATCATTTTCTATGGGATTAGCGTCTGGTCATTCAACAGTTCGCCATGGAAAATCACCCATCCAAAAGCATATTTTTAAAATTGCATTGTGCCTATATATATATGTATATATATATATGTATATATATATATGTATATATATATATGTATATATAAATATATATATATATGTATATGTATATATATATACACATATATATATATAGGATGATTATATTACGAAAGCCAGCTAGCTGGATCGTTGCTGTCTGCGAACAAAGTGAGTATAAGGGGTCTGGGCGGAGGGCTTGCCCAAGTCCGCCAAAATCTCGCTATTACCTGGGGGGAAGGGTGGGTTTTGGGACCGTTTTTCCGGGTCATGTACCATGCGGCAAAAGGGTGACGGTAGGGTATCGATTCCCCCTAGGTCCGCATTTTGGGGAGCCTTTTGGGGTGCTTGCAGAGGAGCCGATGTCTGCGAGAAGGAGGAAGGAGTGCTAGCACAGATAGGAATGGTAAGGGTAAAGGCGCCTTTTGCCACTGCTGTCGATGTTGGTGGAGGAAGGACAAAAGTCGCCCGGCTCGAGGGTCTTTCTCGGGCACTGTGATGTCAGATGGGAAGGTGTTTGTGTGAAGGAGGAAGGAGGGCTAGCGCATAATGCGAGGTTTGAAGGCGTAGACATACCAGCTTTCACAAAAATTAACCACCAAAAGTACCGTGGAGGAGGTACATAATGGCCTGTGAAGCAGAATGTAGAGCATTCCTGACAATTCAGGCCGGGTTCGCTTTTCACTTGTTTGTTTGGAAAAGAACAATCACAAGAGGATTGCAACTATTCGAAAGGTGTTTTGCAAGATTGGTACCCTGGTATAAGATGATGCGAAGAAAAACGCGTGGTCCGCAAATATACTGCCCGACACATAAACAATCACAAACACCTGCATTGTTGAACAGCCTGAATCTAGCTTAGTGATGCTGAGTCGTGCGCGAACAGAGGTTTTGGAAAGCCCGCAAAGATTCAGCCAAAAGCAACTTTAAGTTAGGTGGATATCCAGATGCTATTTAAGCTGTGAAGTGCGAAAACTAGACAACAGGCTTTCTTCGTAATACGATTCCTGCTCTCTGTGGCTCAAAGACTCCGAAAGAAAGTGGCGAGTTGTCCGGCGAGAATGGTCAGGAACCCAGCGCCATTTTGCAGCCAAAGCTCTTGTCTCGAGTTCAACCTATTGATTCTAGAGATCAAAGTTGGAAGCGACGAAAGAAGCAAAAGCATTACTTCATCATATTTCCACTTTGTCGCAATAATGATGCAAAGTTGATCTGTTCAAAGAATTCCAAGGCACACTTGAGTTGTTTTCTGCAATAAGCTCTCACCATGCTCTCACCCAGTGATTTGGTCCTTGAAGCTGCTACATGTACCTCTTTGATCCTCTTTGACGAAGGCTGCTGAAAGAGGAGCAGATGCGCTGAAGCGACATTTGCAACGTCTACAGCAGGCCACGCAGAGCCGTTTTCGCATCACTACAAGTTAATCGATTCTTATTACTTACTATTATCATTATAACTATTACGGTCGTTTACCCTCAAGACAGCGGGATCTAGAAACCCGTGTGGCAACCTTTCACGGTCTTTATCATGCTGGCGTCAGAATGAGCCTTTTCTCGGAACATGTGAGGAGCATGCGGAGCTGAAGAAGGCACGCTGGAAGTTGTTTCCTTGTTTCAAGGTCTCACAATTCTTGACGTTGTGATAAATTTTAATACATTTCATATCATTTCATGACATTTCATGACATACTTCATGACATTTCAATGTGATGTTGTCATTTTGAGATTGATTTTCAGATCGTTGAAACTTTTCCGAGTGGCTGCTGCTTTCTGCACTTTAGCTCATGCCGTTTACCAAACTTTCAATCCTCAGGAGCGTGACCGGGCAGCTTCAGTGGTGGCGGGCTATGAGGCGATAGGGCTTTGACTCAGACTTCGAATAATTATTCTGATTATTCTGAGTCAGATTTCGACTCAGATCTCACATCAGACTCATCGAGAAAGTCATAGCTTGTCTATTTCTGTGGGTATAATTTGACGACCCCAGCTTTTGTGTCTTGGGTAAGGTATAAAGTCACAGGGAGTCACAGGTCAACGTTACGTTGCCTCTGCAAGATGTTTCGGCATAGACCAAGATCAAAGCACGACTGCTGTGAGGCTGGATCGGTGACCTTCGACAAGGACCAACGTGGAGCAGTGGAAACACATGGCAACAACGTCGACATGTTTTCTTTTTAGATATGCATCTATAATCTACACATATTTACCATATATGGCAAGATGGTGAGAAAGAGTAAAAAGACCAGAACATCGTTCTCTACACTTGTAGATTTAAAAGAATTGTAGAGATCAGTGACATCAGTCGTAGACTTCCAGTCAGTGATTGCATGCGTCCATCGTTGCAG